GATAGGGTGGGGCCAGGTTTCACAATGAGTTCACCCGAAACCCTGGCTGATTGTGACCCACACCTGTTTTCACACCTTGGCTCATGTGATTAGGTAGAGGATCACTGGGGGTCCTTTGTCCCTCTGCCGGGTTCAATCTGGGACTCTCCACCATTTGACCTTAGAACTGAAGAAGCTTCTCGGATGAGAGGTGGAACGTCTTCAAGCAGCTTAGAAGTCCAGACGCTTTTCTTTCCAAGCTCCTTTGACTATTTAAAGGTATCGTTGCAGTTTGAACAGCCTGTTTTGTTTTTAGGAAGTGCCTGAGTCGAGTCACCATGAAATATCTGCGTGGCAGCCGCAACAAGAGCTGGATGATTTCTCTATTCTTTCTAACACTGGGGCACCTTTTATGAAACAATTCAAAATCATGCACCAAAATAATGCTGACCCTTCATAAAAACAAATCACCAACATGGCTGATGTGTTGTGTCTGAATTATTGTCATACTTTTATGCTGTGTGCTGAGTGGCAGCTCGGTCACTCCCGATTGTTTTTTCTTTAAGAAAATCGTATTTTTCTTTTGCACGCTCACTGCTCTCCTCACAAAAGTAAAACCGGTAAAACCTGGAGCAGGCGCCGTGATTGTACCCATCTTTACCACACAACCTGCATCTATTATTATCTTTGCTAACCAACCACTTTACTGTATTATATTTCGTTTATACCAGAAGATTTAATTTAATATAACAATAAACCTCCAGGGCTTATTGGAGTTTACATTTATTCCTACAGAATTTAACACACCGCTGACAAACCTGTAGCTCAGTTTGAGTTTAGCATCAGTTCCTACCCGTTCCTTGGAGTTTCCGACGACTACGCTGCTGGCCAGTCGGTTGTCAAAGACGTCGTCAGTTTTGAGCTGGCCGGCTGCTCCGGGCAGAGGAGGGAAGCTGGAGAGACCGAGCTCGAAGCTTGGAGATGGAGGTTTTGGGGGCGGAGGCGGCGACTGAGGCGTCACTCTCTACACAGAGGCAACAAAGAGTCAGGAAAAAAAACAATCTTCGATTCACTTTCAACATAACAAGTACTAATCTTGGTTTGCTTCCTTTAAACTGAATAAACTCACAGAAAAACTGGAATTTAAAGTTTGAAAAGAATCAGAATGACGAGGATAAAATTCAGTACTTACTGTAAACTTTTCGTCCCTCTTTTTCCTAGAAGCAGAAACATTTTTCCTTTAAGAAAAAGAACATCTCAATTTACAAACATCCGTTCTATCTAAAAACACCGACTTCACCTTAACACAACGTGAAGACTGAAAGATTTTAATAGGTTGGAACCAAAGACTAGTTTCACTAATTATGCATCTGACAGAACGTGAAACATGGCCACAATCTCCCCTTCTGTTCCTCAGAATCGTGATGGCACAAGGAGGTATGAAATGTCACCACTTCATCATTTTATCCAGATACATGCAAAACTTTTAGTAGCTGATTAATTTTTGAGGAACAGCCAAAACAGGGCAAAAAAGATATAATTTCAGATCCCATTAAACACAGAGACAAGTAAACGTAAAGCCACCAGAACAGCTTCAAGTCCTCTAAAAGAAACTCGCTCATCTGCTGTTTCAATGGTGAGTCACTGTCGCTGGCAGCACAACATAAATGTTTCATCAGAGGATAAAGGTGATCACTCAGAACAGCTTCGGATAAGGTGTGGCCAAAAAGCTCCAAAACATTACCTCACTCAAATTTGGCTGATGCCCTGTTCAGTGTCATCGTCTCTTAGTTTGTCCAGACAGCTTCCAACGCGGCTGCTATTCTTAGAAGTCTGTGCCCACTTGCACTCTTTGCTCTGCAATTCAGCCAGACGGCAAATCTTGCCTTTCGTTTTAAAGTGACGCAAAATCAGGATGGAGGTCGATCACTGGTGATGGGAGCCGGGTCTCCGTTTAAAGTTAGTTTGTAAGGCTGAACAGAGTGAGTCATGCGAGGAGTGACAGCAGGAGCACGATTCGCCTCGCTTTTAGTTTTTCCACTTTCACAAAAATTGAATCCAGTTGAGGAATTGTGCCAATCGTCAGCCTCGATAGGCAGGGATTGGTCCGACAGGGCCTCAGCCTGGGCTGCTGCCCAACACAAAGTGCTGCGGACGCTGTACCACAACGAGCCGGCTGAGGTGGATGCGAAGATGATTCTGAATGGGAGGTTGGCCAAATTTAAATCAGGTAAGGTTTAATTTTTAGAGCTCAATTTCCAAACATTTTGACCACACTTTGTACCGACTGTTTCCCCTAAGAGGACCAAAACTTCAGGAAATTTGTGGCGTCCCATTTCCAAAGACATTGTGTCCAAGAACAAAAGAAGAGAATCACCTGACCTGTTACTTTACTCATGTTTTCACTTTAGGACAACCACATGCAAAGCGTCAGCGTGAACTGGTGAATTCCTCTCATAACACTTTGGAAACCTGCACTATCAGAGGGGAGTGGCAGCAGAGTTATTGCTCTACACAAGTAAATGATCAGTGCCTGACCTTCCTCGGCCGATCCCCAGCGAGTAGTCTGTGGTTGCGGGCTCCGTTACTCGCCCCGTGCCCACAGTGTCCCTGCGAGGGAAGGCTGCAGTGGAGGGTAACCTGGTTCTGGGTTGGCTGGTGGGGAGTCGCGTTGGCGGGCTGCTGCGAGCCCCATTGAGCCTCTCGCTGGGAAAGCTGGCAAAGAGGCTCGGGCTGTCCAGTAGCCCAGTGCTGCGATCCGCTGTGGGGATGGTCGGCCTCAGGTGAGGTTTGCTGTGATTCCTGCAGAAAAGGAAAACCTTGTGAGCCCATGTGAGCA